ATTATTATTATTATTATTATTACTATTGTTATTATTATTATTGTTATTATCATTATCAAAGTTTAAGCATAATCGACAAACGTCATACTTACGTCGACGCACTCTTCAATCATTGTTCCCTTGCTACACTTTATGTATAACTAATTATAATATAGATAGGAGGAGGCTGCGCGCGTTCTGATTGGTCAAAAACCCATGTTTTATCAGAGTATAAAGCATAGAAAAAGCGTGTTTTATTGTTTTGCGCCTGTAAAATCTATATCATAAAGTAAATAAGGAAGCCTAACTCGTGTATTACACTGTGATAAAACACTCCGGATATTTGAGACCACTCGAGAAATGTAGAAAACTTCCGCCCGCAGCTCGTGTTTTCTACATTCCCTCGTGTCCTCAAATGCCCGTCGTGCTTTATCACAGTGTAATACACGGCTCAGGCTTCTTTATTTGTTAATTATAGTATAGATAGGACCCTGCTTGATAAAACAGAGAAAAAGCGTGTTTTATGTTTTTCGCCACACTTCCTCTAGTCAACATTTTGTTAGAGATGGGGCTTCTTTATTTGTTAATCAAGTATCTGCAGTACACAATTTCTATCAACTCCCGTTTCTATTTTTTAGGGATCGCTTACGTGGTATAGTTAACATCATGGGCGACTCCTTTGGCGCCACGATTGTCGAGCACCTGTCACGTGACGACCTTCTTCTGGTGGGCTTTGAGTCACGTGACCCCCAAAGCGAGCAACCCTTGTACCCCTTGGCTACCAGGTACACTCCAAAGCATGAAAACTACAGAGGAGGGCCGGCGCGATCCTTGGACGACGACAGCGCGAAGGAAAAGCTGATGGATAAAGACAAATTGCTTGATAAGAATTTAAATGAAGACAAACCAGTACGGCTCACTGAAACCGCCTTTTAGTTGCGACGTTAAACCGATCAGTGGAAAGTTCTAAAATAAGCCAGACGTTTAAGAATAAGTGAATAAGCATGTAATACCGGCGGCGGAATGTTCAAGAATTGCCAGTTTTCGCAAGCCAGTTATAGGTTTTCTTTCTGCCCGGCCTCAACAGTCTTGTTGATGGAAAAATTCACAGTCATCGCTGACTCCCCGATGAGATAATGTTTTGGTAAGAATACTGAATTCTGTGGCTTGAGGCAGCAACTAAGCGTTCATACATGCCGGGAAATATACAGCCAAAGCTCTCGTAAGCGACCACACTTCGTGAGCTTAAAAAAGGGGTCGTAACGACTCTGATCTGTTCGTTTTTTAAAAGGGAGCGAAAGCTTAAAACTGATCTAAAAAAAGACTTAAAAAGTTTCCCAAACTTCCGAACCGTATCTCTGGTTCTTCTGAGTCGCTTACATTCTTGTAGGCAGGGTTCAGAGCCACCTTAAATTTTCGAAAATTTAAGGTGGCTCTGAACACTGCCTACAGAATTTTTTAAACTTTGCCAAACGTTGCGTCTTATTTTGTTTATCAAAAATTGATAATATTAAAAAAAATCAACGTGCCAATTTTGAATTAGAAGTCCCTAAAGCTGTAATTAAGGGTGTTTTTAGGAGGTCATACTGTTGCTATGGTAAACTATTGGGTCACGAAAATGGTAACAACATGTTCACCAATGATTGGGCAGTTAATTGATACCATGATTGCAGCATCAAGTGATAAAGAGTGGTTATAACGACCCATCAAAATCTAAGTGTTGGAAACTGTTTCGAGCCACCTTAACTTAACGCTCTTTTTCCAGAAGTAAATCATCTTGAAGTTTTATTTCGAGGCATTTATCACCTTAGGGAATTTCATATCAGTATTACAGTAAGAGTGATAAAATAGTTTATACTTTTCTTAAGGGTTGACTGTTCGAATCAGAATCTTTGAGTATACGAAAGCATAAAAACAAAGACAAAGACCAGGAAGACGTCAAGAACGTTAGATACATGCAGTCAAAATGACCGTCATTCTGTGTCAGCTATCTTATATATATTGTATTGAAGTTTTCAAAGCGAAGTGGTTCAATTGAAATTGTGTAAATTCATTTCGTTTCGATATGTAGTCAAGTTTTCCCTTACCCTGTGCCTCATGTAGTGTGCACGAAAAGGGTCTTGAAATGTAATATCCGCTCTATTCTAATTTCCTTAACGAGGGGTTCCATACGGAAAGTGCGAAGTCAGCAAGCTTCAAAAATTATAAATATTTGTGCTATTCAAATGACTGTTGTTGTCGATCTGTTGTTAACGTAAAAGTCAGTTAAAACGTTTATATAAATAACACCAAAACTAATCCTATAACAGAGAATGCTAATTTAAGCGATACATTTCGGTTGAACCAGAGATACTTTCATCTCACAGATGGTACGAGAAAGTCCGTTTTAAACTTGTCCATAGTGGTCCGTAACGCGGTTTTGGTTTACATGTATTCAGGAAGACATGGGAAGACCTTTGATCACGATTCGGACCTTCTGGCAACCCGAAGGACGATATCACTGCTTTAAGTCATTGTCTCCCTCTTAACCATCGGTCGAGTCTTCTTGATGCTTATTCCTTACTATTTCGAACTTTTTAAAGGTGTGTTCAGTGGTTCTAAGTACAGAATTTTGGCGTCTAGAAGAAAACCTCGACACTCTACGCCATGTTTGTTTTGGCGGCTGCGTTCAAAAAAACTCTCCCCTACTTCCTAGAGTATGCAAAGGACCAAAGCATGACAGGTACCACAGAAATCTCTGGGGAGCGTGAAAGAGGCAATTTCTTAGTCTTTTTTGACTGCCGTAATCCGAGAAGTTAAATAAACCAGTTTGTTGCTGTTATCGAAGATACTTAGTTCTATATGAGAACATTCCTGCTCTGTATTGACACTCTTCACATCCTCCTTCCCTTTGTGGCAGCATTTTGTACCATTAAAATAAACTAGTTTATCCATTAACAAGGACTCTCTAGCTATCCTCCGCAGATGTTCGAAAAGTTCGTCATAGAAAGTCGCTGTGCGAGGTGAGCGTAAGCGCGAAGTCGAATCCTGCGCCTTGACTCATTCGTTCGGCGGATTACCCCACCCGAAAAAACCCTTTAACGTTCTGCGGAGGAGTAAGTTGTAAAGAATGATTTGATAGGCTTAAGTCACTTTTATGCACATTTTCTGTGGTTACAGCTATAGCCAGGAGTCAGGAAAATGACTCGAACAACTGATAATACGTGCGTTGCACATGTATGCGTTGCGGACCTATTTTTGGTCTGACAAGGGGCTTAGGCTCTCCGATCTCCATGGCTGAGAATTAGTGACGTTGAAACTAGCAGCCGAGAAATTACGCGGGTTTTTTTTTATCCAATACCTGAGATCTGAGATTAGCAGGGGTTGTTGATGGCTGACAAATGAAGTAAGAAATCGCCGAAAATTTACCTGATAATGGACATTTCAGCTTTACATTCACACCCTCGGGGGCTCGGTTGCGAGCTGCTTCTTCAATAAACAGCGCGTCGTCACGTGACATAGCAATCACTTTTCTGGCGGTCGAGCCGTGTCAGATTCTTACAAGCAAGCTTACCTCTTTAGGGCTCGGAAGACATTGACTGTAGACCTTCACAGTTCCTAGTAAGTTTTCATACATCTTATTCTAATTGCGTGATCGAAGAAGAGGTCAATATATCAATATAAACAGTCAAGATACAGACTGTTGTTTCATCTTGATCTGAAACTCAGGTTAACACTGGTGGTCTAAGCTCTCCATTGAGTTCTCTTCCTTTGCGTACCCGAGGTCGAAACCTCGCCGGAATCGCTTCAGATCCGCTTGAGAAGCTGGCAGAAAACATTCAATACAACAAAGTATCGAGGTGAGCTGACCTTATTTAAGAAACGGTATTAAATTTTAGCTTTAAAACCAAACGTTGCGTTTCTATACCAACCTATTCAAACCGTTGGAGTCACGTTTGTCGTTCTCATAAATCGAGCTTGGGCCGCGTGTGTAACAAGCAGTGTACTTCTGTAGCTGAAATTCAAATCATCCGACCAATTCGATTCACATATTGAATACTTTATTAAACACGCGGCGCTGGGCGGTAGCAATTTTCCGCATACCTTACTTGTACGATGTTGAAATACACGCTTTAAATCTCAATTTTCAGTACATCTTAACGCTTCAAAGACAAACTGAAACAATCGATATAAGTACGGTTATGCACGCTTCGCATAAACCTGATACAAGGCTTTAATACACATTCAGAGAGATGCTGAGTCATAGACGTTTACAATTGAAATAATCCTCGGTTAATGCTAATATATTACCGTCTACATAAACTACAATAACCACCACAGTTTTGGGAGTTGAGGCGGAATAGTTTACACAGAAGGTTTTTGGTGACCAGTATTCCCTAGATATGTGTAAAAGAAGTCCCTAATTCGGTTACCTTCTAAAGATATTGGAACTCAAGCTACGTGACAGAAAAGAGCTACACTCGATAGCTTTTGAATGTCACTCCTCAGAGACTTCAACCGTAAAGCTTTCCGGGAACGAATACTCTGAATGCAAAAGGTCAAACCACAGCCTTTGTTCGAGCAAACATTGTCTGAAGCCCAATGGCTGCTGCTGTGTCACATAAGTGAGTTATTACTTTTCAGACAACCCAGTCATTTAACTAAGACGTTCGATCATCAAACCAAATTTGCAAAAAACCACGAGCGCGAAATAAGTTTTTCAAGCTCAAAAGAAGCCATGAACGCAACGCGCAATTTATTTTGAAAACATAATAGATCGGTGTCAGCCAATCGGCTTTGTGGTTGAGCAATATGTCCAAAAACAACTTACTTCAAATAATAGAGAGCGCTATAAATTAAATAGTCGATCTTTATAAACGAGAAAACTGAATGTACTCTCTTTTGAAAGAGTATCTTATGCTTTTGGTCGTCATCACTTTATACTTTCTTTCCGTGCTTGAAGTGTTTATTATTCGTAATAGGGTAGAATTACTAGTACTGACTTCAAATTCAGGAGCGACGAGCGCGAAGCGCCAGGATATGTTTACTCAATTCCAAACGAGAAAGCGAGGAAGCGTTGCCCTCCAAAAACCTTTTCCGTTACTAGTCGCTGCTGGCATAAGAAAGAGGGGTAAAACATTAGGAAGAATGGAAAATTCTGGGCTCTTAAACCGAAAGGCAAAGATTTTATGGCGGTTTGAAAACGCAAAATTACAAGGATTTGCATATATAGGAAGCCACGAGACGTGTCTAGAGAGCGAAGCGTCACCTTCCCTTACAAATGAATCCCCGTAATTTCTAACCAGTCTAACGTCCACAAAAGTCCCTCTTAAAGGATATAAACTTGAAACTTTGCATGTAAGCTTATTTGAAATGTTCTAGATCTTTCCATTTTTGATAACGTACGCGTGTCCAGTGACTAAATCATTGTGTTCTTGAAAACAAGTCATGTGACCCAATGTTGCAAAAGGTCTTTTCTAATTGTGCTACTTGAAATCTAAACAGGGACATCATTTTTTCTGCTAA